CTGCAGAAGCATCACAAATCTCTTCCGAAATTTCGGTTGCTCCAAGTGAAAAGTTTCTTTTTTTGTTGGACATTTGCCAAGTTATACGAAGTACCAACGTTGAAGCGAAAAATTTCTTGAAATTTCTTGTAATATGTAAATTTCTTTTATCTTGTAATATGTATTACTATAATAACTTTGTTAAAAGCCAGGGAACCCTAGTTTTTTTTTTTTTTGGTTATTGTAAGCTACATGCAAGGTATTTTTAGAAATTGTTTTAAAAAAGGTGACAGCAGCGGTTTTTGAGAAAGAAGGTCATGAAATGATAGGAGAAAAAGAAAAAAGGATACAGTTCTTTAGTGGTTAAGAAAAATTAAATAAGTACTGCTAATAAAGCAGCAAATACTAAACTGAAACATTCGGGGTTGGTAAGGAGAAAAAGAAGTGTATTCTGCGTCTAATTTCGCGAATTTCCGTTTCAGCTGTCCTTCTTTTAGTCAGGTTCAAAGAAATATAGGAATACGTTTACTTTCTTACGCAATTACTGTAGAAAAAATGCGCATGAATGTTGTTTTCATCGCTTTTTTACTGCAGCCTAGATAGCCATCTGTAAAGAAACAGAAAACTGCGGGAAAAAAAGTATTGTGGATGATAGGAAAAGCCATGAAGTAAGTGAGGGGGAGGAATATCTAATAGCGGGGAGAGCGAAAAGAGAACAACGAAGGGAACAGGAGAACGGCGCCTGAAGTGCCGCCACACAGACCTAGGCCATATTTTCAAATAACTTCTCTGTGAATAGTCCAGTATTTGTAAAATTTTCTAGTGTATTTGCAGGTAGTTAAAATTAAAATAAACTTCATCTTTAAGAAAAATATGGAAAAACATGTACTGCTTTAAAAAAAAAAAACGAACCTTAACTGCGCGTTATGCAGAAAGAATACAATAACCGAACTTGAATTAGACCGATTTCTCTAATTAAATAGTGCAATATTTAAAAAACTGCTACTGCCACATAGATAATAATTTTACATATTCACACGAACACTTCCTAGAAACTAAAAATTAAAAAAAATAGTAGTTCCCGGGCGAATAAAAGTTATTTTTACTCAAAAAGTAACAAAACGAGTAAACTAAAAAATTGAACTTGATAACACATCCAGGCTAATAACTCAGCGAGGGAATCAAATTTCAACTAAATTCAGCAAGCACTTGTTGCTAGAATTTTGAGGAACGGAATGCTACCAAAATTATCACAAATCTCCCACAGCAAGGCTGGTAAAAACGCCCTAATATGAACCTAGATCAACACTTGCCCACGTTGCCGGCTATGTTACCTTAATTCTGTTCCCTGCGCGAAAAATATTTTCACGCCAAATTGGAAATGAACGCGTCGATATATGGGTCATTCCATGCCAAATCGCATGTTTTTGAACATCGACTTTTCAGATTTTTTTAATTTGTTGCTTATTAGTAGAGTCTAGGCCAGCATAAAGAAAGCCGCACGGAAAACTTAGAAAAGTGAATCCCCCGCCAAGTTACATTCCCAAAAATTGTAAAATTTGCCAGGTTGATGCCTGATACGTCTATCTCTGAAGCTTTGTAATTTGGCCCATTCTTAACAAAATTTAACGGTTTTTGTTCCAGCGTATTTCTCTTTCCTGAAATTTAAAAGAATGTTGAATAATTTAATTCTGGTGAAAATACGCAAAGATACATAAAAAAACAAAATTTCAAACAGACATAGGAAAAAAAAACGTGTCTTGAAATTTTTTAAAAAAGATTCATTTTGTGTAGAATTTTTTTCTCTACAACATATCGAAATT